ACTTAGAGTGCTCAGAAAAATGAAAATGTAAACATCTAATGTTCCTTGACAAGTGTGCAAACTCCATCAGCTGAAAATCACATCATATGATCAAAAGCTCCACAACTAAATGGAGCTCGATTGTTTTCCAGAATGTATTTCCTTTATGAGAAACATGCTGACCAGCGACTATCTCCAAATGTGGTGATTTGGAAATTTTCATTTTAACAGAGGAATTAAATAGCCCTTTATGGACTGGGACAACGCTGCTGCTTTTCACAAAAAAAAAAAAAACATAAAAAAAGACTAGACTATCTGAAAATTGAATTACACATAGCTGAAGAGTGCGGTTGTTTTTTTAAGCTTATTTTCACAGGCTAGCAACAGTTCGCTCAGATTTCGCAGCAAAATTTAAAACCCACTGGTTTGAACATTTATGGACATGCAGCAGCTAATGACTTTTCAAAATAAAAGCAAAATAGGATTAAAAGCTTGCGCTGCCAGCCTCAGAGCATCCACTCTGTTATTTTAGTTTATACGAGATGGAGGACGTGATGCTTGTGAGCACAGCAAAGCAGCATCTACACAGCTTACAAGTCCATGTAAAGTGAGCTTGTCTCCTCCTATCAGTTAAGAGCTCCTCTACGCCACAGCACCATTCCCCTGAGCCTACTCTCAGACAGGAAGAGGAAATAGTTGAGGCCAACAGAAATTCCAACTACTCCCCTACTCCCCCAGACACCACTCGGTGACATATTAACCACGCAGTTTATATTAAACAGGATTAGACTATATTCTGTTACATGTAATTACTTTCTAAACATAAAGTTAACAAACTGTTTCTTAGCGAAAAGTTTAATAGTTATGTGCTCCGTGGAATAGCTGATCAAAGTCAGCACCGTGTTCTCACAACATTTTGAGATGAAGTCTGGCAGCTGGCCGACGTTGCATTTCACCTCCTCTCTCTATCCTGTCACACTCCATTGTATACTAGCCAATAAAGCAAACATGTCATAAAAAGTAATCTCCAAATTCCTGAAATTACATCTTTTTCATTTCCGTTTTAATGAGGTAGAAAGTATTAGCAACAAAATATCACACACTTCATCTGTTATGCATCAAGTGTAATATGGCTCGCAAGAGGAAGAAAGGGCACCCCTTTTCTCCCTTTAAGCGATTTATCTCACACTGTAATTCAAGCCAACAATCAAACCAAAAACATTAGTGTCATGGTATTTCTAGGCTCTGTTAAAAATACTCCAGAAAAAGGAGCTAGCATTCTATGGCCTTTTTCCCACATACCAGAACTTGTTTGTATTGCAATTTTAACAGAACTGAGTCTTCATTTAATAGCATTTAGTTTAAAGTGACATGTTAACACAAATAATGTACCAGTAGTGTATGAGGTCAAAAAAAGATGTCAATCAATTAAGTACATGTTACAGAGTTTCAGAGAGCTACAACTAATTTAAACATATCTGGACTTCTCATACACCCAGAGCAAACCACGCACATTCAGAACCTACTTCTTCCCTGGTGCTATATTATACATTTAAAAACATTTTCTTTTTGTATCAGCCTTGATGTCTTAGAAATGTCTTTTTAGCCTGCTCTGCTCCTCACGATCAGTTGAGATCACAGCAGTGCAACAGACTCAAAGAAAGATGCCTTTTTTGTTTCGATTTGTTACAAGAACCAACTAATAGCAGCCAGTTGCAGAGAAAATTCTGTGTCAAAGGCAGCTGGAACGCTTCCATCAACTGAAGGATGTCCTCTGGCTAGGGTTAATGGGAGTAGAGTGGAGGGAAAGAAACTGCGCAGAGCACCGGAAGAATAAAATAAAGAACTTTAAAGCTTGGATTTCTCTGAGTAATGCGGGGTCAAAAAACGAGGGACAAAACCACAATTACACCCTAATCTGGCACGCGCTTGAGACTGTGTGCATGTGTGTGCACATAATCTGTTCTGTGAGGCTCACATCGTGTCTCATTTCAGCCCAGAATCACAGACAAAGGTCACCGCTTGACCTTTTCACAGCTCCGAATTGCTGGAGCACACTGGGCTGATAAGTGTACACACAGACATGTGCAGACACACATTTACAAAAACTGACAGAAAGACACATGCTCGCTCAGAGCAGAAAAATGAAAGCAATACAGCACTGAACTGAAAGCACATCAGATCTTCTATTTGTAATCCTGGCCAACTGTGCTGTGTAAGTTCAACTTCCAAACATGTTTACTCTTGGATCCCAAATGAAAGACAGGGGCCTAGTTTCTTTGTTATTTAAATTTACTCTGGTATTTTCTGGCATTTTTCCCCCTCTCTCAAAAATTACTCCCTCACTCAATCGATGGACAATTAACTCCATCTTAATGCCACTGCACAGTCTTGTTTTTGTTATGTGCAAAATGCCATGTTTTTATAATGATCAATATTGTGTATTTTCAGTAATTACTTCACCATAAACTGTTCAAATAAAGTCAGTGCTTGGACCTGGGATATGCATTTGTTATACAAGGTTTAAATGGTGGAGCTGAGTACCACAAGCCCCCTCAGCCTCAAGAAACCTACTGTAGCTTATTACCAACTATACATTTCCATTTACACATAATGTATACTGTACATCAAGACTGATGAGCTTAGGATGAATTTGACTGCTGATAGGAATGTTGGTTCTTTAACTGTACCTGTTCATTAAAAGTCATATTTCCTGTGAAAGCTCATTTCCCACTCCAAGCCAAAATGTAAAAATGTAATGTAAATGTAAAAGTATGGGAGCTGGGCGCTTATTAGCGGATGGAGAAGAGAGGATTTAGTTGGGTCTATAGTCTGATGGCAAGCAGGCAGAGACCAGGAGGTCGGCATATTGCCTGCTGTGTTGCTGGGACATAAAACGCTATACAGCTCTACCAAATAGAAAGGATTTCTTGATTATAGGTAGAGACAGCAGGACGCAATGTTGATGCAGTGGCTTATGAAAGTTTTATGGCTTTTATGCAGCTTTAACAAGCATGTGTGCACTGATTGAAACAGTTTTCCTTACAGTAGCATACATGCATAACAATGACAAACCTGCTCCCTGGTCACCACAGCAGTCGGCATGGCAACCGATATGGGACCTATCAGCAGAGGTGAAATAAGGCTTTGACCAGTCACAGTATTTGGACTGAAGTACCTGGCGCATAAATGTCAGTGAGGGTTAATTACAGCCACATCAGCAGCAATGATGAAAATACACCATTACTGTCAAAAAATGTCCGTGTGGCCATGGATCTCAGCCTCTCCCAGTTAGAGTGAATAATGTTTGTTCAGAAGGCTGAACACTCTGTGTTTGTGAGCATGTTAAGTGAAGAAACAAGAGTAAGTGGTTTTTCACTGTGAGAAAAAAGGCATGCAGGCTAAAACGTTTGCTCGGCATGAAAATTACTACGCTAAGACTAATGATTTCCTTTTTTGACAACCTGCTTTTGTGTTCACAATGGCTTTTTGCTTGGCTGTTTGTCTTGGTGTGCTCCATATTCAAGGCTGTCTAAAGGAAGGTTTAACTACATCTCTGTAAATCACAGTATAACTACCTCGACAGACACAACTACACCACTGTCAAATGACATCAACCTTTGCAGATGCTAAATAAGTGTACTCACATTTGTGAACCACTAATGGCTGATTCCCCCCCCCCAATACAAAAGAATTTCTGACAATGTTCTTGTCAGTGCTGCTAGCATTGTTCATGCTGCCCTGTGCTGTTGCTTGCATGAATATGCTGAGAAAAACAGCCTGCACAAAGGGTCCTTACAAAGGGAAACAGGTAGCACCTTTGTTTTAAAGTATCCTGTTCTGTGCTGGGTTGTAGGTTTTGTTCTGTACAGGTATAAAGAGCAGCAACACCTATATTTAAAGGTTTAATCAACACATGTCAAATACGGTACAACGCCCCTTTTAAATTTAGAAATGTACAAAATGCACAAAATTAAAATGTTCATGTAAAGTGCTAGATATAGTACTGCAATAATTTTACTTTTTTAACAGTGCAGTTCGTTTGCTTGCAATTAAGACATGCCTTTGCCAGCCTTGATACAGATCTTGCAAAATGGCTAAGAGCACCCCTACTTCAATCATCTACTCCTTTCCCTCCATGTTGGAACAGTCCTTTCCTGCTCAGTTCTGTTGTAACCTCTCCCGTCTCATCATGTTCTTTCTTCTACTCCATTTTGTTCTCCTCTGGACTGATCCAGGGTGAGGCTGTTAGCCGGAGTCATTCAGCACAGGCTGATAAATCCCTCTGGCTGCAGAGCGGATGGGAAACATATGGGCAGCTTTCACTCAACTCAAAAACAACTGCTTGAACTCAGCTTCCCAGTGGAAAACTTCTAAAGAATATTCTTCTGAAACTTGGCAGGATATGTCTTGATCCATATCTGTGGAACAGGCCCTTCGGTGTGCCAAGGACTGGGTTTGCACTAGCAGGCTTATGCGCATTGGAAGTGTACAATATGCGTTTAAACATTATGACTGTCCAATCGGTTAACTTGTATTGCATTCAACTGTCTGTTTCTGTAAAGTGCATGTCCTCTGAGAGAATACAAAAAATACAGAAACACAGAGAGGGAAATTGAACTAAAATACTGCTCATGAATAATGAGAGGGAAAGCGACACACAGACCAGGGATGTTAGACCCCCGACACACCACACTATGTATGACATACACACACACACACACACACACACACACAGAGTTTATCCCTTAAGATGCTCTCTTCAATCTCTGCATTAGTAAATTATTAAAACATACATGGAAAAAGATATGGATGAAATCACTCTCCTGCTGACATTTCAAATTATATTCTCGATGTTACGTATCATAAGTGACATCAGTGTAACTGCTATACTTATATATTGGGTTATGGTAATCACTTGTATGTATGCTCATTGCAGGTAAAGGCTTTAGGGTTGTTTACTGGGGTCTTGGCCAATTTTTACACACAGAGGGTATTGTAGTATGAGTGTGTGTTGGTACCTGTTGCGGTGGTGGCCGGGGCTGCAGGTAGGGGTTCTGGGTTGGACCTGGAGGGGGCTGATGAGGGGGGCTGAAGTACAGAGGGGTTCCCTGCTGCCCAGCCTGCTGCTGGCTGTAGCCCCCCATCCCCTGCTGGCCATAGGGCGCCACCTGCAGGAAGAGCCAATCACACACTGGTTAGAGGGGAGATACTAAGGTCATAGCTGAGGTTGCAGAAAAACTTCCACTTGAAGTTAAAAGCTGTTAGGTATCATTACTAGACAATCACGGCAGGTGTTAGGTGGTACTGCAGCAGTCAGTCACAAAAGAGTCTTTGAAAGTCACTTTGAAATCACTGGAAAATAAAAAAACTAACTGTGTTCTATCCATTTTCCAATTCATCTGATTGTCCCTCAGCTACTGTACAGCTATTCATTTAGCTCAGACCAGGTTGACACACATTTCCCAGCAGTCCTCTGCCCAGTGAACCCACACTGCAGAAACATCTAACTTTGTGTCCTCTGGCTTGCCAATTGCATCCTCCTCTCTCTATTATCTCCATCCCAGTCAGCTCACAGATGGGATGAGGTGTACTGTATATTATTGAAGGCCTGTCCCAGGCCGTAACCCTAATGAGGGACGCGTGGATGAACCTGAGCAGTGCAGTTAAAAAAACTAACTTGTGCGGGCAAAGCCATGCCAAGTGCCAATGCTGCATTACATGATGGTTATGAGAGAATGTGAATAGGGAGTACATGTAACAAACTGGCACCAATACAAATGTAGTCTTAATCCCTTCTTCTCATTTGTTATGACTACAGACAGCACCAGGTGCTCCTCACTCTGCCACAGATTTCCTGCACAGGCTGGGGATTTCTCATTTACGCAGACATGCATGCACAATCAACACACGCAAAAGCCAAGTAAACAACATTTACGACCACTAGTCATCCAATATGACAGTACTTTTCTTGTCATAATTTTGCCCCATCGTGTCATGTTGCTTTTTCTTCAGTGATGGCCAACAGTGCTGCCAGAAACTTGTCAAACGCACACACAGGCTGTAATTTGGAGTGGATGTGAAGCTCATAGTCCACCATTTAACTTTTGCCCCAAGTCCTATATTTTGAAATGTCCCTTTAAATCTTCCTTGGCAGGCTTGGCAAAGTAAAAATTTCTTAAACTCAGAGTGACTTATATTTCAAATGATAGTGTTATTAGGGGGCTACTGACTACCAACGCTTGTCAGATCAAAAGCAAAGAGCACACATCCAGAGTTGCATACTGGGACTGTTATGGCCCAGAAAGCTCATTCATAAAAGCCTTACTGATGGCTGGTGTTAAATATAGTGAAATCTGATCTGGTTGCAGAGGGCCAGTGGAGATTAAAATGTCTGAAATAGTTCTGAAGAGTAACATCCTTGGAATGGGTGGGGAAAAAAAATAAATTTTCGCTGGATGCTGGGAGAAGCTTTTTGACTCCGTGAATAGAAATGATTGGACAATGTAGAATACTTTTCACTTCAATGGAAATTTGATTAGAAAGGACAGATCTGTGTGTGTGTGTTTTGCTCAGTGTGAGAGTGTGTCATTAGGACAATGAGACAGACAGACAGGGTGAGATCAGTCTAGCTGGCAGAGAGGTTAATAGCATGGCCCTGCTCATGCCAACAGCACCACTGGATTCATTACTGCCAATCAGTGCACCACACACATACACTTACAGGCATAGAGCTCTCATACCGACATACTCAAATGAATGCACATAATTCAAGTTGTCTGTGTGCGGGGAGTTGTTAAACTAAGAAAGACAAACAAATGCTCACTCTCTCTACCACACACACACACACACACACATCATCATCAGAGGTGGATCAAAGCCGCTGTGATAAAACAGAAGCAACTCTATTCAGTGATCAGTGATGACAGGCTGGTGTAACACAGTGGGTCTCAACTGGAACACTACTGTTCTGGGATTGGTGAGGATTAGGTCGCCATGGAGATCGAGACCAGACAACCGTGGGTGGGTTTCTTTCTCAGAATAATACAATGACAGACAGACAGACATATGGGCAGACACTGACAGACAGACAGAGGAGCACATAAGATGTACACAGCACACAAAAAGGGTTAACAGAGAAATGTTCTTTAGGTTTATTCCCCCTAAAATTCTTTTGGTGCTACAAATAACTTTGTTACAAAGCATTAAAAAAGCTAATGAATAAATAATAAACCATACACTAGTTTCTGTTATGCTTAAAAATTGCCAATAAGATTTTTGCTAATATAAAATACATCTGGAACAACTGGCTAGCACAATGGAGAAAAAAAGCCTGAACACAGATGTTACGTCTGTTGTCCCTCTTTGCTTTCTAACAGGATAAAGTGACTGACAGAAATAAAAGTGTGAAGCCTATCGATTCATGTCATGTTATGTTTCTCCCTGACATACAAATTTACCAGGTAAATACTTTTTTACTGACTACAATAGAGCTTGTTTCCAGCAGACATTTTGGCATGTCATAACATGAAAAGCACAGGTGAAATTAATAACATTAATGAGGCCTGCACGCCATTTACATTAGTTTGCCAGTTCCAGGAGCCCTAAACTGTGCATGCAGGCTTACACACTGAGCTTACAAGGACCGTTACATGGAAGTGAGATATCGTTAGTGTAATTAGTACTATAACACCTCTTCTCCTCCTGTTATGACAAGTCAAAAGGCCTGCTGTGAAGACGGTCTATTAGCACTGTTGAACTAGTTTGAGATTTGTGTGATTGACAACAAGTCTGGTGATTTTCTAGCATTCCAGCTATGAAGAACAATTATTAATTTGTTCAGTCCTGAAATACTACATGAGGTGACACATCTGTGTGGCTGACAGTGCTTTTTAAATAAACTTAAATGCCTGATAAGTTATGTGCCACTATATAAAGAAGTTCATGCAAGAGCAACTCCAAAAATGCAACGCACTCCATTCATTTCTATAAGGATTGCATTCAATGCAGCCAGCAGCATCATAGCAAGGGGTTCCGGCAAAATGCCGCAGCCCCATGCGGTGAAAAAGTTGGATCTGGTTCAACTTTTGTCACACCGAACAGTGACATCATCTGGCAAAGGCACTGCACTGGCCAATCATGTATGAGGAATGGTCGGACTGTGGGTGCCCACGGGAGGAAGACTCTTTTGTTTACCTTGTTGCAGGGTTGCCAGCTGTCCTGTAGAATACAAAATCATTCTGTAATTGGAAACTAAAAGAACTACTCTATATTGAACTGATACAGGATGCACTTTGTTCCATATTTTTGAGAATTATTTCAATGCAAATGTATTGAAAAGTAATATTAGAGGTTAGACTATTAGTGATTTCTATATAATAGAAAGAAAGTCCCTTGTCCCCGCAGCTCAGCCTGTCTGTCATGTTCCACAGTGGAACTTCCACTACCAAAACAGAGAAGGTACTTGTCACTGGTCATGACCAGTAAGAAGCACTGTCAGTGTTGCTACAATACACCTGACAGGCAGCACATGATTTTAAAAATGTTAACCTACCAACCTAGTCTGCCGGCAAAAGGAAAAGGTTGCCAAATTACACAAGAGGATGGGAAAATGAATATAAATGGCTGGAATGTGTAAATGACAATGTGTACAAGGAATAACGCACCGTCTGCCAACGGGCTTTCTCAATAAGTCACAGAGGAATTTGTGACATTAAACAGCCCATATCTGGAGAAAATCACAAAAAGAGTGGAAGAAGGACACAGGGAGAGGGAGAACTGTTAAAGTTCCTTATCCGCCTGGCGTCTCCCAAGGCTGTATTCCATAGTTCAGCTGCCCTAACTAGATACATGATACATACAATGCCTCCCTGCCAAGTATGTTTCAATAATTGATTGTTCTTTTATTTAGAATGTTCCATCTATAATTTCAAATGTTTGCACTGATGATTGAAATGATTTCTATTTCTGGAAGTTGACAACCCTACCTTCTTAGCGGGAGCATTCACTGCTATTCATTCTCAAATTTGGACTACAGTTAGCACACCATAACGACACACCAGTTGTTAGGCTATTGGATGTTAAATGGCATTTTTTAATCCATCAATGCTGACACACTCTTGGTAGAAATTAGCGCTGAAGTAGAGCAGACTACGTTAGCAGCATGGCTAACCAAAACACAAAAAAACTCCTGGGCTGGAAGTACGAATGATGCCACTCACGCTGAGTCATCACAATATAGATGTATCACACACCCCTACATGACACTTCCCCTGCAACCCCTCATCCTCCCATCAGTGCGGCTCCTTGCTTTGGGGTTGCATTTTAGCACACTTAGCCTGAACGCCTGCTAACAGTTAACATAACAGTAATTACCATGAATAGATGACTCTCACTGAGCTCATCCATTTGCCAACAGTATTACTCTCCCTGCAGGGACCATCCAGTAAAGGTTTGAGTGACATTGGGATGATTTATTGATCCATAACACAGTGTGGGTGTTATGATGGTCAGAGGTAGTTACTGTAAATGCAGACCTGAACTGTGGTTTATACTTTTCATGCTGCTTATAACTACTTTCTGTAGAAAAACCTTTGAAGAGCATCAGTTTTCAGTGTATTCAGGAGTCAAGCCTGACAGATATGCAAACAGGCAGGCACTCAGGTAAACAAGCAGAAAGAGAGTCACAGAGGCAAAGAGAAAAAGAGACAGAAATACCACTAGTCATTCAGTCAAATAAGCACAGAGACAGCAGGCAGACTGGAGGTCTAACAAGTAGCAACCTGTCACAGTGGCTTTGGAAGGGAAAAAAGATTCATTCAAATGCGGCGTCTGTTTGATCGCTGGGGCCAACAGTATGAACATACAGTACAGACTGAGTACACACCAGCTCAGTGAAACTTGATTCTCTTTGACTGAAAATATGCTTAGTGATAAACAGACTTGCTGTGCTGTTGCTTATACCAATAAAAGTAACTGCGGGAATCAGAAAATAAGACCATTTTCTGCCTTTTCCTTCCACTCAGGTATGTGGAAGCAGACAAAATAACAGAGTGATTTATCTGGAGTGTCTTGGCAGGCGCATGGTGTCAAATAAATATCTGTAATGAAATAACAACAGATGTGAAGTGCTGTGGGAAGAAATGACACAGAATAGATATCCTGTGAAGCA